CTGTGGGTTAGAGAGAGAGACTGTGAGAGACAGGACTGTGAGCTACATTGAAATGGGGAGATGGCTGTGTATGAAATGGTATCACTTGGGGGAAAAAGACCTACAAATGTGACTCTGTGAAACAAAGGTTGGTAAGGTGACTTGCTCCAGTTTTGTTCACGCTCTCTACTAACCGTGTGAAGACAACAGAATGTAGGCTTCTCAAAGTAGGTACCTGGCTTTTCATATCAAGATCACCAGTACAAAACTGTGTGTGTCTGCGTGTGTGCATGCACCCGGGGGTCTATCTAGGTTTTGTGGGGCCTGAAGCTTGTAATTTAGAGGACTCACTTTTAGAAAGAGAATATAAAATTATAAATACAAATATCATTAGGTCCCATCGGGCTGATACAGGTGGGGGGCCCTGACGCTCACTAGCTCCGTGGCACATCCACCTGAACATATGCATGTGTACGCATGAGCTATGTATGTATGTGGGGACATATGTAGAGGGACCAACAGAAGTTACTGTCCTTTGACCGATAGGCCTTGGTTTTGCTGCCTAGCACAGTAGAAGCACCTTTTACAGTCAGTACGAGCTGTTTCTTTTCTGGGAAGATGGAGAAGATTTATTAAGAATCAAATGGGTCAAGAATTTTTTTGAAAAGTGCCTTTTGAATTCAAGCCAATGATCATTAGCTAAGTTAGGTATACGGTGCTGTGGCCCGTGTTCTTTATTTTTAATAGGCCAATAAATACAACATTTTTAATTTATAGCATTTATTCCAAAGATCTTTCTATTAATATTATTTTTTGAATATGATCTCCTGCATATACAAAGATCTTAAGGATGTATTGAGAGGAGAAGAGGCTGGATGTTGGAGGAACTAGGGGGATGGAGATGGAGGAGGATGGGAGGGCCATCTTTATTTGTTTAGAAAACTGTTGCAGATAAGTTACATCTTCTGTGTTGCTCCACAGGCTAAGTAAGAACCAAGGTACGTGGTGTTACACAGGAGGCCAGATTCCAACGCAGCAGAAGAACTTTCTATCAACTGTGGTTGTTAGTGACCGTCAAGTCAGCCCCAATTCATGGCAACTGCACGCACAACAGGGAGAAACAATGCCTAGTCCTGTGCCATCCCCACAATTGGTTGCTGTTGGACCGTTATGATCCATAGGGTTTTCATTGGCTGATTTTCAGAGTAGATCACCTGGCCTTTCTTCCTAGTCCATCTTAGTCTGGAAGCTCTGCTGAAGCCCGTTCAGTATCATAGCAACGGGCAAGCCTCCACTGACAGACGGGTGGTGGCTGCGTATGAGGTGTGTTGGCCGGGATTGAGCCTGGTTATGCTGTGGAAGATGCCTGTTACTGGAGGTGCACAGCCAAAGCCCCTTCGTGGTGGGGTGAGGGAGACAAGAGACTTATACTGAACAGAAGTTAGAGTCAGTCTAAAGAGCCTCTTGAATCCCCTCCAGGGCTAAGATTCCTAACGGTTATGCGGATCATACACACACTACCGTGACACCTGTGAGAGCCGGAACTCAACGAGACTGCCTTGTTTTTCCAGGTCTCGCAAGTTCTTCACCTTTGACAGGGTGCAGTCTGAACACTTTTCTATCAGTCATTTTAGTGGGGAATGTTTGAGTTTTCCTTCTCTGGAGGGTTTCTGCCTTATACAGGTTCTGGCTTTTGCAGGCTTTACTGTATTACTGACAGTCGTACACACATAGGGCATGCATAGTAAGTTATTTTTCCCCATAGTAGTGATGTGTTTGTGCTAAGCTGGCTACACGCCTCGACTGTGCCCACGGTTGCTGACCAAATGCATCTATGAATGGACTGGTCCAGCTCTGAACACAGTCTAGGGTCTTAGAATTAAGTTGTTCTCTGGCCTAGAACCTTCAACTTTGGGTCCATGCTCCCACCCCCTAGCCTGCTCTCACAGGTGGCACTTTTGAATGTGATCTTACTGGTGATCCCCATGATAGGCTTATGGTTTAGCTGAGGAACTTGCAGTGTTCAGTTTGGTTTGCCCCTTCCCTCTGGGAGCTCCTGTTTTCCCTGGCACACTAGGGAGGAACGTTCTCTGCCCAGCTCCCTGTGCCAGCTGGGGGCTGAGAGGCTGAGGAGAACCAGCACGGAAGACCTGGGAAAGTATGGGCAGAGCACATGTCAGCCCCACTGTGGGTTTAGCCCACCAGGCTGGGGTGAGCTATCAAGAGACCAAGGGTGGGAGAGTGGCCTCAGGAAACCATCTTTGCCCTTTGTGGAGGAGGAACCTAACACTGATCTTGACCCACTAACACCCCCCGCCGCTTATTCACCATCCAAGATCACCTTAGGGATTTACAGGTCTGTCCTAAACCACTTTAATCATATCAGCGGTGATGGTGGTGGTGGTAACATCAACAGCTGGTGTTCACTGAACTGTTACTGTTTGTCTGACACCGTGATAAGTTTATAACATGGATTACCTCACTGAATCCTCACAGTAATCCTCGGCAGTAGATACTGTTAACATTGCCATTTTATAGATGAGGAAACTAAGGCCTGGAGAAGTTAAGGAACGAGTCTACGATGGCGGCAGTGTGACCACAGAGTATAGACTCTTATCCTTTCTGCTGCACGGCCTGACTTTCTGTATGTAGGTAGAGCAATGGAAACAGGGAAGAGAAAGGGACTTCCCAGCCTCTAGCCCGCTGTCCTCACCCCCACACCACCAAGCTTCTCCAGGCCCAGGTGCGTGGCCTCCAAAGGGTGGGGGAGGGTGCAGCAGGAGCCCCAAACCCTGCTCTATCTAGATGCTTCCCAGCATTTCCCTCATTTGATCCACACAGCACACTTATGAGGTCAGTGCTGTTATTTGCGTTTGCAGAGACTTTCAAGAGCTTGCTCAAGGTCACTTGGTGTGGTGACGCTGGGGCTCCATCCCGGGCAGCCGCCTCTGCCTTCACTGCCCTTCCCCACACATCCACTTGCCTTTCTAAATGAACAGAGTTGGACACCCTCACAGACACTAAATTTATATTTCCTGGCCTCCCCTTCCAAAATGGATATACTAATTACTGACCATTTTTTTAGTAATAGTAATCATCACGAATACGTTTTTAAATGTTTCATTTTCTATTCTGCATACTACTGAAATAAACATCAATCAAACCCACAGGATAAAACCCAGCAAGCGTGAGGCCATGTAAATTCGGAAAAGTTCAGAATGACATTACAGTAAACCAAAAGAAACAAAGTGTTGATTAGGGGCTTATTTTTGTAAAAGATTAAAATATGAATCATTAAAATAGGACGGTATTTCAGGCTCCGTATTCACGTTTCAGAGACAACATCACCATGACTACTAGGTTTGGATTAGATGAGTTCTGAAGCCCTTCCCAGATCTAAAACGGTACCACGTGTACTGTGGTTCTGTCTTCTACTTAGCATTTTTTAAAAGTCCAGTTCGGAACACCTCTGCCTCTTCCGGCCCATCTCCTTTTAATGAAATGCTCAAGTGATACTATGTCTTCAGCTTTTGAAAGTCTTTTGCTTTATTTCATCCTAATAGTAAATCGAGGCAGTATGTTAGCAATCAGAATTCAAAAGGAGAGGCTGGAGCAAAGTCAAAGCAAAGTCGCAAGGTTCTCTCAGGAATCACTTAGAATAGGGTACTTGCAGAACTTTATTTGCTGTCTGTGGACAAAAGGTAGAGAAGTGGAGGTTTGCAGGAAGAAAGAAATGAATCTGAAGCATTTCTCAGGTTCATTCTGAGTTTAAAAGAAAATAATAATAATAATAAAGCAGTATCTACAGCCCAAAATATGTGGTTAAATTAAATTGTTAAAGTACCTGTTAAAAATGGCTAAAATTAGCAACAAAGGCCCATTGTGTGGTACAATTGTTGACTGCCCATCTGTGGCGGGGGCAGGGCATGGGGGGAGAGTCAGAAGCCTGTGGTATTTTAAAGATTAGTCACCCACCCCTAAAGGGTTTTGAGGCATCCACCTGCATTTTGAACTTGGATCTCAGCCAAAGGGGTGGAATAAGACCATGACAATTTTTTTGCTAATTAAGTACTCAGTGGACACTTCCAATACCAAATATCTCAGAACAGAGAGCCCCCTGCTCAAACCAGCCCCGACCACCCTCTGCAAGGGGCTGGCATCTGAAGATGATTTTCTAGAGATTGTAGAACCTTGGAGAAATGCCTGTATGTATTTTTAAAGGAGGGAAGTATCCCAGAATGTGCCTGTTGCTTATAGCACATCTTCAATAGTTAGCATTTCTGACCACGCTGGTGACTTTTTCTTCCTATTTATTCCCTTTCTGCTGGGATTGGGGTGGGTTAGAAAGACATGTTTTTCTCTGTAGGGAAGATTTCTATAACGAATCTGCGAGTTGTCAATAGAGCATTAAAAATGCTCATACTTAATGACTTCATAATTCTTCTTTGAGTAGTCTGAAATGCAAGCAAAGATATATGTGAAAAGGATGTTTTCCACAAAAAAATAACAGCGAAAATTGAGACAATTTAAAATCTCAGTAAAACCTAGTACATCCCTGTGATGGGCTGTTAATATGCAGCTAGTGAAGCAGTTCGATAATGTGACAAACTCTTCAAAACCTAATATGGACGGAAAAGAGAGGATACTAAAGTATTAAAAGCCAGATTCCAATTATATAACTGTAGATAATGTAACAAGGCTTCTCTCTCTTAGTGATGGAGTTATAGGTCGTTTTTGCTTTCTTTCTGGTTTTCTGCATTTTTTCGTATTTGTGCAATTAATGAATATTACTTTCATAATCAAAAAGGTTGGATGAACTGAATACATAGCTCTGATCTTCTGAGTTTCGAGTGCTGTACTCTGTCACCCCCCGTAACTTCCATGAAAGGAGGTGGCATGCCTGTTTTGATCACCATTGTGTCCTCAGCACTGTGCCAGGCGTATAGTAGATAGACACTCAGTAAGTAGTTGCCCAGTAAAGTATTCCCGTTTCTCTATTTCCTTTTGTTTTTTCTTTCCAGGTGATGTGCTCTATGAACTCCTTCAGCATATTCTGAAGCAGAGGAAACCTCGGATTCTTTTTTCACCATTTTTCCACCCCGGGAACTCTGTACACACACAGCCGGAGGTCGTACTGCACCAGAACCACGAGGAAGGTACGTGCCACTTAGACAAATCCAGGAGGTTGAGTTGCTAACTTGCTAAGTTGTTCTTATTCGTGTAATTCATTTTTCATTAAGCAACATTTACTGAGTAGTTACTATGTATATAAGGCACTGGGGAACATGCCAAGATGAATGAGATATACTCCCAGTTCTCTGCAATTGATGCTCTAAGTGAAGAAACAAGATAGATAAATGCATAAATGTAAAAGCGTAACTCTAAGAAGAGGCACCACAAAGAGGCAGTGGAAGGAGAAGTTATATCCAGGTACAGGGCACAGGCTCAGTTTCATGGAGGAGGTGGCTCTAGAGGGTTCCTTGAAGGTCCAGCAGGATTCTGATGAGCAGGGGTGAAGTGAAGAACATTCCAGATAGAATGACAAAACAATAGGGTAAATTCTTGGAATAGAGAACAGTTAAGATGGCTTGGATTATAGAGCTTATCTCCTCCCCCCACCCCAACTTTTATTATGAAAGATTTCAAACATACCCCAATTGTTGTTACTTGCCATGAGTTGATTCCAACTAATGGCAACCCCCTGTGTGCAGAATGGAACTGCTCTCTAGAGTTTTCAAGACTGTAACCTTTCAGAAGCAGATAGCCAGGCCTGTCTTCCAAGGAAGGAGCCCTAGTGGCACAGTGGTCAAAGCACTCGGGTGCTAACCAAAAGGTCAGCAGTTCGAACCCACCATCTGCTCCACAGAAGAAAGATGTGGCAGTCTGCTTCCTTAAAGATTTCCAGCCTTGAAAACCCTATGAGGCAGGTCTACTCTGTCCTGTAGGGTCGCGATGAGTCGGAATTGACTCAACGGCAGCAGGTTTGGTATTTGGTTTTGGTCTTTCAAGGCACCTCTGGGTGGGTTCGAGCCACAAACTTTTCAGCTAGTAGTCATGTGCTTAACCATTTACACCACTCGGACTCCCAAAAAGGGGACTGCTAAATGCTAATTATTTGATGGGAGGGTGCCTGTAGAATTTATACATTCACCTCAATTAAAGAGAATAAAATAGATAAACCCCTGTAAGCCATCATCCTGTTTCAACAATGGTCAACATTTTGCCATTGCAGATCTAATCCTAAAATTAGTTCCAGGATTGGAGCCAGAGTGTACAGGGCTCTGATTTCTGGGCTGTGGAGGAAGGTAATAGGTAGTCATTGAAGATTTTTGAGCAGGGAGTAATAAGATGAGAGGGAGAAGGGAAAAAAAACAACACTCCAAACTCTATGAACTCTGTGTTAGGTCAAGGATTTCTTCTTCATGCACCAAAAGAGGTTGATTACAGTGTACTCGGTATCGGTGCTGATTTCAGATGTCCCAGTTCAGCCCTTGCTCTCTTATCTTGCTTATTCATAGTAGTCAGAAAATTACTGGTAGAAAACAGAACAAAAGACCAGAATTGAAGTGTGGCCCTGGACATAGTTCCAAAGCAGGTGTTTGGGTACAGAAACAGGATATAAAAATCTTACTTGGAGCGCCTCTCAGTTAACTGCTGAGTATATAGTAGCAATCTTTGTTGAGCTGTGCCTCTCAGGATCATTACTGTGTCCTGCTGGTGGCGTTGGCTGGACCACAGACTCGGGTACACACAGTCCTCCAGTACTTTTTCACATGTACTTCTCCTTAGGAACAGTTTACAAGGGGCCTAAAACTGATCCCTTGGGGCCTTTCCTTAAATTGATCAATCATCCCCAAGAGCAGGGCTAATATTTTTGTTTTGCTGTTGGCAAATTAAAAAATGAGAAGGTTTTGTTTTCTTAATTAACACTTCACGAAAGAGAGCCTGACTCCAGGCAACGACAGACATCCCCTGTTTGTGCCAAGTCCTTCACAGCAGGGCCCCTCTCTTCCATGGTGGAGAATAAACGAGCGAGCTTTTGTTGCAAGCTCCCTGCCTGCTTCTCTCCTCCCTTCTTCCCCTAGCTTCACCCTTGCTATATTTAGCAGCTGCCCCCCACCCCCAACTCCCTTTCTGCATTCTTTTGCTCTTCCTGCCACGTACATGTCCAGCTTGCATAATAGCCAACAGCTACCCTAGAGAAGAGGTGGGTTTACCGCAGCTTAACATTAAGGCAAGAAGTATATTTATTACCTAGCCTGGCTTCTCTGATACAAAGGGCATGTGATGGTTGTAGGTTTTCTCCCCCCTTTCTCTTTCTCTCATTATTTAAAAGAAAGAAAAAAATCTCATTTGGAATTTCTCTTCCCCTTTCTCTTCCCGAACGTGATTGGAGGCTTCTCGTCTCAACTCGTCACAAATCCTCCTTCCTTCCCCTTGGCCTGATTTGACTCCTAGGTAGATGTGTTGTTCTCATTTGCAAGAGCTCATCAATAGAGAAAGCTGGTTTACTCCAAGACTTCTAACTAGTTTCCAGATCAAACCCCTGCTGAGAATTTGCGTTTCTAACAAGTTCCCTGCTGAGAATTTGCATTTCTAACAAGTTCCCAGGAAGTTATGCATAAGAATCACCTGGGGATCTTGTTAAAATGTAAATTCTGATTCAGTATATCTGGGGTGGAAATGCAAATTCTCAGCAGGGGTTTGAACCAGAACGAACCAGTTCGAAGCCCTAGTTACTCTCAGAGCTACTCTTGAATCAAGTAAATACAGATGTACCACCACATACACTGTAATGAGCTGTGCTCTCAAGTGTTATGCTGTCCGTCCGTGGCGGTGAGCTCAGTAGGTGAGAGAATGGAGCTAATGAGACCAAGGTCAAGTGCTTCATTGCCCTGTGGCCCAATCAGCAGTGCTTCAGTCCCAGCTCGTGAAAGCAGTGCATTCTCAGAAACCATTCCTTAAAGCCTCCCAGGAAGCAGGATCTGAGGGCACGTGCCCTGCTGCCCTGTCTGTTCAGACACGGTGCATACGCTCAGATGAGCAGGTGAATGCAACAAGCAAAGAAGTATAACTTTTTTTTTTTTTAATTGTGATTTAGGTGAAATTTACAAGCAAGTTGGTTTCTCATTCAAAAATTTATACACAAATTGTTTCACAGCATTGGCTACAACCTCGCATTATTCAGCACTCTCCCCCCTTTCCCTTTCCACCCTGGGTTCACTGTGTCCGTTTGTCCCATTTTCCTGTCCACTCCCGCCTTCTCATCTTCGTTCCTGGGCAAGTGTTGTCCATTTGATCTCATCTACTTGATTGAACTAAGAAGCACATTCCTCACATGTGTTATTGTTTGTCTGATAGGCCTGCCTAATCTTTGGCTGAAAGATAAACTTCGAGAGTGGCTTCATGTCTGAGTCAGAAGGGTGCCCAGGGCCATAGCCTCGGTGGTTCCTCCAGTCTTTGTCAGACCAATAAGTCTGGTCTTGTTTGTGAATTCGATCATTTGTTCTACCTTTTTTTCCCACCCTGTCTGTCTCTATTGTAATCCCAGTCAGAGCAGTAGGCAGTGGTAGCCAGGTACCATCTAGTTCTTCTGGTCTTGGGGTCATATAGACTGTGGTTCATGTGGTCCATTAGTCCTTTGGACTAATTGCTCTCTTGGGTCTTTAGTATTTTTCCCTCTCCTTTGCCCCAGACTGGAAGAGACCGATAGTTTTCTCTTAGATGGCCGCTCACAAGCTTTTAAGACCCCAGACGCTACTCACCAAAGTAGGATGTAGAACATTGTCTTTAAGAACTATGTTGTATCAATTGACATATATGTTCCCCGAGTCTATGATCCTTTGCCTTCAAGCCTGGGAACTTCATCCCGTGTGAAGGATAGCTCTTTATCCAAAAAAAAAACCAAACCTGTTGATGTCATCGAGTCAATTCCAACTCATAGCAACCCTATAGGACAGAGTAGAACTACCTCATAGGGTTTCCAAGGCTGTAATCTTTACAGAAGCAGACTGCCACATCCTTCTCCTGCAGAGTGGCTGGTGGGTTCGAACCACTGACCTTCTGGTTTGCAGCTGAGCGCTTAACTACTGCACCACCAGGGCTCTTCCAGCTCTTTATCGGGTGGTATCAAATAAGATGAGTCCCTGGGTGGTACAAACGGTTAACATGCTCAGCTGCTAACCAAAAGGTTGAAGGTTTGAGTTCACCCAGAGATGCCTCAAAAGAAAGGCCTGGTGATCTACTTCTGAAAAATCAGCCGTTGAAAACCCTACGGAGCACAGTTCTACTCAGACACATGGGGTCGCCATGAATGGGAACTGACTTGACGGCAGCTGGTTTGGGTTTTGGTGTTAAATGAGAAGAGCTGTACAGGCACAGAAGTGATATAAAGAGGCTGCCTGCCTCCAGAACTTCAGATACAGGGTACCTACCATGGGTGGCAAAGGGACCAAGTAGAGAGGTGAAAAAATCAACACAAATTCCCTACAGCCAACCTTCCCCCGTTCTTTCCCTTCCTCTCTACTGGGGGGTAAAACTCGGCTCATAATGAATTATCTCTAAAAGCAGTACTGTTATATTTACGTATGAATGGTGTCTTGGATTGAATTGTGGGCCCCCCCAAAATACCTATCAACTTGGCTAGGTCATGATTCCCAGTATTGTATGATTGTCTTCCATTTTGTCATCTGACGTGATTTCCCTATGTGTTGTATATCCTATCCCTGTAAGGTTAATGAAATGGATTAGTGGCAGTTACATTGAGGAGATCTACAAGATTAGATAGTGCCTTAAGCCAGTCTCTTGAAATATAGAAGAGAGAAGCGAGCAGAGAGACATGGGGACCTCATGCCAGCAAGAAAGCAGTGCTGGGAGCAGAGCACGTCCTTTGGACCTGAGGTTCTAAGATGCTCCCAGACCAAGGGAAAACTGATGCATGACAAGGACTTTTCCTCCAGAGCTGCCAGAGAGAGAAAGCCTTCCCCTGGAGCCAGTGCCCTGAATTCGGACTTCTAGCCTACTGGACTATGAGAGAATAAACTTCCCCTTGCTAAAGCCATCTACTTGTGGCATTTCTGTTATAGCAGCACTAGATGACTAAGACAGATGGTAACACACGGTTAACTTGGTCATATGTCAAAATGCAGAAAGAGCT